AAAAACCCTAGTAAATATAAAAGAAAAAGAGACGAAGTGAATTCTTATTACTTTCAACAATCTTTAATCCTTCCGTGAGGAAAATGCTAGCCCGTACATTGGCGGTATCTCCACGATTACATATGCCAGATATCAGGAACGTAAGCGTGTAGATTTCTGCCTTTGATAGCCATCGAATGCTGACAGGCAGTGTATTATTTGATGTTGATAACGATGATGCGGATTGAAACGAGTTTGATGATGATGATGTTGGTGCAGCAGAAATATGTATCTATCACGTATAATATTTATTATTTTTGATTATGAAACATCATTCTTTCCTTCTCCATTCAAAGCAAAAAATAATTACCGTAATGTACCCTTTCAACTCGTCTAAGTTTTCCTCTTCACGCCGTTCATCCAAAAGTTGATGTACCTCCGACAACTTCTCCAGTGCAAACTTCATATTCCCGGTATGCATATGGTAGGCGATGAATAGCAGTGAATAGTGTAAATGTAGGTGTCTGTTTGTTATAGGGAAAATGTGGTATGTTTGTGGAGGCTGGCTTGACGGCGGTGGGAAATATATTGTGGATAGCTCGGCGAGTGTGTGTTGCGCTATTGTGTAGTTTTGGCTAGTGAATGCATATTGTGCTACTGTGATTAATAGGCATGCCTGTTATATCAGCAATAGTTTAATAAATTATACCAGTCAATAAATTAAACAACTAAAAATAAAATAAAATAAAAACCTTCATCTCAATATCTCCTCGCTGATCTGCCAACGATTCTGCTTGTTTCAACACTGACAAACATCCATTGAAATCGGAATCCTTTTGACAAAGATCCGCTCGCTGTATCAAATAATGGTATGTCCAATCTGGCATATTATTTCTATTGGAAATCGAAATAAATAAAACAAGAGTAAAATAAGTTATGGCCTCATCGATCTAAACGACGACTACTGTAATTATGATTCTATAGATGATTGTGATGAATGATTTATTCTACACACAAAGAAAAATCACCCACTCCATTGCTTCTGCAGTGCCCTTTTTTAATAGATTTTTGGCTGCTTTGATGTTATTCGTACTTGTAAAGATTTTGCTCTGGAGATTGTATATCTGAAATTTTAGCTCGTTGACATTGTCCATCTGATTTAGATAAATTTTTTGGTTTTTTTTTTTAGTATAATAATATGATTAAATTATTAATCTTATGATGATCAAATTTCTTGTTAAAAAAATCTAATTTTTTGTTGCATCCAATACATACCTTTTGGGCAATCAATATCTAAAAAAGAAAATCACACGATCAATAAGAAAAAACTGTGAATTCCCATTAACAAAGACATCTATCATATATTGAAATAAAAAACACACAGCTTTTTGTAAATGCATTTCAGCCTCGACAATATTTTCCGTAAACCAAAATAAAATTTGGCTTAATCGAAATCTCGTTTTCAATTCGACAGCAGGCATAAATTGATTTCCATTATTATTATTCGTAAGAACCGCATCCAGACACTTGATAGCAGCAAGCACATGTTTTTGATGTTGCGGCGTTAACTTTGGAAAATCCGTGAGAGAGGAAGAGTTTGGTAATGAGGCTGCTTGGGAAAGATGGTGCTCGGCGAGGTACCATAATAGTTGATATGGGAGGAGTGGTGGCGGTTCCTGTGATTGACGATATTGTAACGGTGAGGGGGGACGCGTCGTCGTTGTCTTCTGTGGATGCATTAGGTTTGGGTTGTTAATTGGTGTGTGGTTCGGAAGTTGAAGTTGAGGTTGGTGTTGGTGTAGGGGTGTGTGTATAAGTGGCGGTGGTGGTAATGGCTGTTGCTGCTGTGAATGGTGAGAAATGTGTGGCGATGGGAGTTGATTAATGTGTGGCAGAAGGTGTGAAGCCAAATGTGGAGGAGGAAGTGTTTGTGAAGAAACTAACTGTTGTCGTAGTTGGTGTTGTTGTGGTAAATACTGTGGTTGTTGGGTATAAAAATGCTGCTGATGCTGCTGTTTATGCTGATGTTGCAACTGCATTTGAATTTGCTGCTGCTGCTGCTGCTGCTGTTGTTGTTGTTGTTGTTGTTGAGGAGCATACTGAGTTTGAAAGTTTGAATAAATGTTATTTTGTGAACTTACGTAGTTTGGAGTATTGAATGTGGTGGAATTATCAATTGCATCAGGCGGACTAATACTATTATTATAGCCCAAATGTGTTTGTGGTAATTGTCGTTGTTGTTGTTGTTGGAAGTCATAATGTGGCGGGTATATGTAATTTG